TTCCCACATTTTTTTACTAATTAAGCCATTCAAATTTATTATCACCGCCCTCAACATTGACCAGATTCGCCGCTAGCCAATATCTAACCAAGCATCTATGAAATTACGCAATTAGTTTTTTTACAATCAGGCTTATATAAATTACATTCTTAATACATTTAGATCTACCTTCGAATCTCTTCATACACTCATACGAAATGAAAGTCCAAGCAATAAATGCATTTAGCTAAAAAAAGCGAGCATCGGGTTGGTATGCAGCGGGGGCAAACAAGGATATGTAATTGGAATTTAGACAAAAGTGCAGATAGATAGCAGCAAAGATGTTATTGATAGAGACAACGGATGAAGCATTTGGATCAAAGGATACGTTACATAACGTTCAGCTTAAATAGTATACCAGGTAAAAAATTAAAGTGGTTGGTAGTACGAAGACTAAGATGTTATTGCATTTTCTATCATCACCGTATCGTTGACTTGTGTATAATTTATTTGGCCTTGCTCTCACTAGTCGGTCATATTGTTAAGAGGACCTAGACGAACGCATCTTGTCCGGAGCCCACTGTATGCATGATGATTTCCAGAGTGGGACCGTGGATTTGGTACATTTCCAGACACTTCGCCGGCATCTATCTCATATAGTCAACTTTTTTACACTTGCATCCATGCAACCAAAGATACAAGAATTTCACCCTCAGTATATGCGATAAAAGTGCTTCAAGCGGTCTTGGTTTGACCGATGGCGAATTCCTCTTGGCCAGCTGTCAGTTGGTTTAAATGGTTGTCGTTTCTAAACTGTTTGCCAGAAAGTTGGTCATGAGATTGGTTTCGCTTGTTTCTTTGACGAGACGTAGCTTGCTGCCAAAAATTGTAAGACGCACTGACGATGTCGCGAAACGTCTGCAAACGTACTAAGTCCACGGTCCAACGCTGATAATTATCGTAACCTCTAAAGCAGTGGACTTTGGACAAGCTGTGTCGAATATTTCGCCCTGACAACACGACCACTTCTGTAATTCGAAAAGGAACTTCGACCAAAATAGAGCTCACAGCATCTCGGTATTCATATAAAAATTTATTTGGGTTTACCACATTTACAATTACGGCATTTAGTTTTCGTTGTTTAGTGGGTTTTCTATAATATGGCATTTATTCCTATCTAGTTGCATCTTCATACTAATATAAAGTCAATGGTATACATGAGATGCACTCGCCCTGTATCGATATCGTCACGAATATCTAATTGTTGAATTTTGCCACAATTATATGAATACGACCTAGGTTTACCTTGAATTTCAAAGGGTATTCTCATCAAGGTCTCAGCCAATTTTTCATCACCTTAACGAAATGGGGTGAATACATATCATATATATTATCAACTGCTAGTCTCGAAAACCCACTTATAAACGAAAAATCTAGCGGATTGGTATAACAAAAAACAACTTCGCTTCGCCGAAAATCTCATCTAAGCATATCGTATGGGAAAATGCTTAGCCTTCCAAAAAATTAACATTGTCCAGTGGCTTAAGATGGTACATGGCAGTGGCGCAGTGGCTAGCGTGCCAATATTATCCGCTGCACTGCAACAATCCAGGCTCGAGTCCCAGTGGAGTAACTGAAGAGACCATTTCAAGCGAGCTTAAAAGTGCAACCCGCTTTGGATGAAAATCCCTTTCGGGAAGCAAGGCAGCGTTGAACCATCAACTTGAAATATGCCCAGGCGACGGAAATCATCCATACTTTACGAAATACAGCAAAAATATACTAAACCAAGAGAAAATGTGGCCGCTTGTAGCCCGTCGCTTTTTATACACCTAACATCGAGAGCTAAACGGGGCCTCTCGTGATTTGGTTGGCTACTTCAACAGTACTCTACATATTTACAAGTGAGTGAAGTCAACTTCCCGAACCGGAAGTGTGCTTTCTGGCAGCTGTTTCATTACATAAAAATCTCGTCTACAATCTCATGTTGTATCATGTTTGGGCTTGTGTTATTGTTTATTGTGTGTATATAATGTTAATGTCATGGGAAGTGTGATAACCCCAGCTAGACTCGGCCCTAACCTAGCCTCCTCTTGCTCAGTGGCTCTTGCTGCACCCTCTCTCTCTCTTTCCTTAAGCCTATCCAATAGCCACAAAAAGTTCCTACTAAATTTTCTACACTCATTCCCTTTATTCAAGACGTTGGCTCTTTCGTTAAATTCTATAGACTCCCTAATCTTACGCTTGAACGTGAAGTCCCCGTGATCTACAAAAGTTTGTGTTTTAGGCCAGTCTATTGACTGTCCCTCATTGGCCATGTGTTTAGCGAGCTCACAATTTTCAGCACACAAACCTTTACAAACGGTTTTGCGTTCACATAGTATGTTATGAAAGGGCCCGATCTTGAAATAGGGTTTGAATATTCTCTAAACAAAGGAACTACTGAAGAAAGTGTTAATTTCGCTCTATACATTGTTTTTATGCTCTATTTCTTGAGTAGATCACCCAATTTTATTGCTATTTGACAGGAAGGCAACATCAGAAACCGAGTATACTTGTCCAGTTGTTTATCCCGCCTCTGATTTGCATTGAGCCTAAACAAACTCGGCTAATATCAGGGAACTGGAATATCAGCAAAAGGAAGGCTACTGGACAAAGGTAATACTTCTAATTTTAGGAAAAATAAATTGCAAGGAGACAAGAGAGGAACCGTAAGAAACCAAGCCAAGACGTCTGTATTGAGCCCATTTAAATCAAGTAAAACCATCACATTTAGGGGTTGGCACGTAATAGAATGCTAGAGAAGAGCAAGAGAAACGGTAGTGGCATTTTTTAGTTGGCTATTAGTAGATAGGTTCGCTTATAGATGTGGCTCATGAAGTAAAGGCTTGACCACGATAAGGGAATCTGCAGCGTCAAGTAAGGTTGCCATGCCAAATGAGAATCCAGACTTTAGGGGCTTGCGCAGTAAGCCTGGTGTATACGTGCTTAAGGCTAACTGTAGAACAACGCCTTGAGTAGCACGCATACGGTGGCAGCGATGGCGTCCTCTGACATAGAATTCGTGACTTTTTCCATCGGACATTGGAATTGGTACATCCTCAGACGCTTCGCCGGCATCGCCAGTTAGAATTGCCATTCTTAGCCAAAGAGACAAGCAAAGCCGATCCTTTGACCAAATGTCTGCTAACAATCGTGTTATCTTGATACTGGCGT